GGATCATCCGGCTGCCGACGATGCGCTCTGGACTGTTCCGTCGGATCTCATCCGACTCGTCCCGAGACGCAGGCGCCAGCGCCTGCTTCTTGTTGAACAGGTTGTCCACCTCCTTGCCGATGCCGGCGTTGATCTTCGCGAGACCCTCCTGGCTGGTCCACTTCGGGTCCTTCCTGTTGAGCTCGCGCCTCCCGCCTGCCAACATCGCGCCCTCCAGCTCCTCATCGTCCTCGGAGTTGACGTACAGCACGCGCAGCTCCTCCTCGTCCTCCACGGTGTCGGGCACCACGCTCGCCAGCAGCACGCTGCAGACGTCCTCCGACAGCCTGGGCATCTTCGCCTGAGGAGTTGGCAGCGGCTCCTCAGGTTCGACCTTGGGCGCCTTGGGAGGCCGCACCTCGGCCGGGTTGACCGCCCTCTTGCCCGCCAGGCGGCGGTGCACCTTCGTGTCGGCATCCATCTCGTCGGACGGTGGTGCAGCAGGTGCCTCAGCAGGATGCGCCGCCTCAGCGCCCCCCTCGCGGTCATCGGGGTTCGGCTGCACCTGCGGCTCCTCCGTCTCTGCCGCAGCCGGAGGCTGCACCTCCGACGGCTCCTGCGCCGTCGAGCCCAGAACCGCGTCAGCAGGCGCTGCACCGGGAGGTCGCTCGTCCGCGGTGATGTCCATGAAGCCGCGCTGCGGACCCTGGCCGCCCATGAACTCCTTCGCCAGGGCTCGGAGCTCGGGCTGGACGACCTCGGCGGCCAGCTTCTCCTCCTCGGTGGCGTGCCGGAGCTGCTCCGGCGACGCCTTGATCACCACGCCTGGCATGGCGACCCAGAAATTGCCGCGCACGGGGCCCAGGATCACGGCCGACCCGCGCCAGCGGGCGTGAGCCTTCTTGCCGGGGATGCCCCGACCTCGGCGCCACACAGCCACACGATCGCCCGGCTTGAATGACTGTACGACTCTGGGGCGACTGTCCAGTGCAACCCTGGCCGCGCGATTGTCCATGTACTCCAGAACAGCGATCCTCGCAGCTTGTCGGCATCTCTCCATCTCGGCGAACGGCTCGTCATGTAGGGCAGCGCTGTTGGCGACGATGTTCGGCTCCTCCTGCATCAAGTCCGTCGGCACCTCCGGGTTCCTCCCCAGGGCGATCTGGCACGGCGAAAAGCCGTGGACACGCAGGAGGGAGTTCTTCGCCATCACCACCGCGCGCACACAAGTCATGTATTCGGCCTCGTCCTTCGGATTCGTCTGGTCCAGCACCTTGTTCAGAATGTCCTCGAACCAGGTGCCATGGCGCTCGGCGTGACCAACTTGTTCATGAGCCTCCCCAGCCGCGTCGCTGACCTCCGTGCCCTGCCTCTCGAACGCGTCGACAATCTCCTGGCCCAGGTTGGTCTTTCCAGCATCACACTTAATAAGCACCGGAGGCCCATACGGCTGGCTCCAGCCGTTCTCAAAGAGCTCATTCAGCACCTGACGGTCTCTGCACGAAAAAAGGGTAGTATCTGCTGGGAGACCCGCTGCTGGCACACGATGTTCAGGCCTTCACTTTACCCTTCCGTCCAGCCCTGGCAGCTCCTCCACGTCCAGCTCGACCAGCCTCAATGGACGCCAACTTCGACGGCACTTCCACTGGCCGCACGGCCTTGGGAAGCCGCCGCCCTTCACAGACGGAACAGGAAAACGTCCGCGCCAGGGCCAACACCATCTCACTCGCCTTGGCGTGCTTCAGGATCCTGACCATGTCCTCATTGCTTGGGTGACCAAGGTCAGCGTGCAACCTCCTGAGGGACGCCTCGAGCGACAGCTTCCGCCGCTTGATCACCTCGTCGCCCTCAGTCGTCGTCAGGACGTCGGCCGTCTGGAAGGCGCAGTCTGCCTCCAGCTGACTTGCCATAGCGCCAGCTATCCTCCTGCAGAGGTCCTCAGGGTACTTCTCCGAGAACGCGCTCCTCTTAATACCCTTCGAGCTACCCCAGCGCCACTGATGTTCATGATCACGAGAGCACCGCAGCTCCTTCAGCGTCCACTTGAGCATGTCCGCGTTGGTCGCGAAGCACCACTCCTTGGACATCAGCTTCTTTGTCACCGGATCTTTCAAACCCACCTGGCACCCGTTGACCGACACCCGGTGTACTCCCGCCACCCGACACAGGCCCAGAACCGACGCACAGTCCCAGGATCTCGCCGTCGGCGGTGCCTCGAGCGTGAAGTATCGACCTCCTCGGATCTGCATCCGGGCCACCACCACACAGAACCTCAGGTACCCGACCGCCTCCTTTACTGCCTGGCGGTACTTCTCCGGATCTCGTCGCACTTCCGCCATCGTCAGGTTCTGCAGGATCGAAAGGGGACCGCATGGAGGGCTCATGCCCACAAACTCCGGCTCCTCGACGTCGACCATGTGTAGGATCTTGTGGCGGTCCGCCGCTCGGCGGGCATCCCAGCCGTTCTGCAGGTCGAACGCGCCGAGGCTCTTGAACCCCATGGACTCCAGGGCGGGGGTCACTCGTGGCACCGAAAAGATCTCCAGGCACTTCGGTTGGCGGCCCAGCCGGGCCTGCGCCTCGAGAACACCCCTGATCACCGACCGCTTGGCCCGCCGACTCATGATGTCGGTGACGCCTTCTGACCACAGGACGTCGGTGTCGTCCCAGTCGCCGTCAGCCTCTGGGCTCCGGCTCGGCCCTAGCGAAAACCCGACGACGCCGCGCGACGAACTCCTCGTGCTCCTGCTTCTCCTCCGCTGTCCGCCCGTCGTCCTGCTCCGCCGTCACCATCACGTCGACCTCAGCCGTCTGGATCCTCCTGCCGTCCTCGTTCTTCCTCTCGCATAGGTTCAGCTGGTAGTGGCCGCTGGCCGCGACCCGGAGCGGCACCGTGACGTTGATCCGGGCGAACCGAATCTCATCCCGCTCCATGTCCAGCTGCGCGCCGAGGGCCTTGAGCATGGGCTTGCTGACCAGCAGCGGGGTCTCGCCTGGGACGACGCACAGGCGGAGCACCAGGAGGCGACCGCCCACTCGGCACTGGATCTCCGCGGTGTAGATTGACTCCAGTGTCTCCTGGTTGCCGAAGCGGAAGGTCGTCGCTTTCGTCTGCTTGATCGTCTTTACCGCGAGACCTGCTTTCTCCATCTCCATCTTGTGCTCCTTGAGGGTCTTCTCGCCGATGACTCCCTTGCCGCACCCAGTGTCGACCACGCCCGACCCCGGCTCGTGAGCCGACGCCGTCAGCACCTCTGGCATCTCCTCGTCCCTGTGCATCGTGGTCAGCCTGTGGTATGCCTCGATCACGTCGTCCATGTCATCCCTCGCCGCCGTGTACGCCTCGTACAGATCGTCTATGTCCTGATCCTCGTCCTCCTCGTCGGCCGTCAGCTCGCAGTCGCACTCGTCGTCGTCGCTGCAGCCGCCGACGCTCAAGGGCCGCCGGAACTCGTCGTCGCACACGTCGCACTCGAAGGTCTCCTCCTCGACGATGTCCCCGGTCCCGCCGTCGCCGGCCACGAGGACGTCTTCCTCCGTGTCGCTCTCGTAGACCGTGACCACGTCGCTGCGCTTCTCGCCGTCTTTGCCCTTGTGCTTGTGGTCCCGTGGAGGAGGACGGCGTTGTCGACGCGGCTTCTTGCAGTCTCTGCTGAAGTGGCCGACCTCGTCACAATTGTAGCATCGCACTCGCTTCGCCATCGCCTTGGTGTCCGGCTTCTTCGGACCGAAGCCCCGAGCCAGCTGCTCCTTCGTGATCTTGTTGCGCTGGTCGCGCCAGGACACGAGTATCTCGATGGCCTCACTCTCGTCCAGGATGTCCCCGTCCTCGGTCTCCTCGATCACGTCGAAGCCCGCCAGCAGCGCCGTGATGTCCGAGACGTCGTCGCTCTCGTCGGCTTCTTCTCTTGCCACGTGCGCCCCGAACGCCCTCGACTGCTGGCCGAAGTCCGCCAAGCCGTTGGGGTACGTCGTCCTGAGCGCCATCGCCACGTCCTTTTCCTTATATGATCGGCTCGATGCTGCCAGGACGACCGCGAGGTTCTGCGGCGCCAGGTGCACACCCAGCAGCAGGAGGTACCCACGCGCCATGTCCGGCAGCACTACGCCCTCGGTCTCGCCCTTGGCGAACGCCGCCTGAGCTCGACCACAGTAGGCCGCCATCGACTCGCCCTTGGCCAGGCGAATCGTGAATACCTCTTTCAGCGCTTCTCCGAGACGATCGTGGGCTGCCACGTCGGGGAAGCGTGAGTCAAGAGTCTCGAAAATGAGCTGCTCGCCGCCGTCTTGTTCCAGGTCGTCCATGTCGACCACCTCCAGCGCCCTGGCGGCGACGTCGTCCAGCAGCGTGAACAGCGTTGGCCCTAAGGCCGTCGCAGGCGTCCCCTTCGCCTTCTGCACGATGAGGTACGCCCGCGCCCACTTCTTCCAGGATCGATATTCCCGAAAGGCATCAGCTCCACTCCCGGCGAACCTCCTGATCGCGCCGCCGGGACCCCCGTTGTCCGTGCTCATCACCTTCTTCTAGCGTCCCGCTGGCACTCGCCTGAGTGCCTCCCGGTGCGACAGCGCCTGCTATCGCGCGGCACGCTCCGCTCTACCAATGCAGATTGGGCTCCGAGGAGGGAGCGCCCGCTCCCTCTTTTCCACACCTGTGGCAAGCCAAAATGCTGCAGCATCAACACGCACATGCACGACAGTAACATACACGCCAGGGGCCTCCCCGGGTCCCTGAGATCAGCAAGCGGGGAGCCCCCCCCGCCGCTGTGTTTGGGGGGGGGGGGGGGGGGCGCCAGCGGGCGGGCGCCCCCCCCCCCCCCCCTCCCCGGCCAAACCCTTAGCCCGGCCCCCGCAGCTTCGCCGAGAGCTCCTCCAGCCTCAGCTCGCCCAACTCGATGCTGCGGATCATCTCCCCCTCCTCGTTCCTGAGCGTCGTCGGCTGGCCGCGGGCAGGGATCTGCTCGAGCCACTTCGCCGCGCCCCAGTTACCGTCGCCGACCGCGACCTGGACCGCCCAGGGCCTGCGGCGCCTTGCCCTGGAGTAGGCAGCCGATCGTCTCCGACAGCGCCCGCATCTCGCGGTCGGTCGCGGAGCCGATCCGCTGCGCTGGGCCCCGCGGCAGGTAGACCGTGAGCAGGTGCCGCAGCGCGATCGGCGATGCCGGGTCGACCGACGCGCCCACCTCGAGGCCGCCGAGGAACGACGCCATCTCGCCCGTGGTGCGCCCCGACAGCCTGCCTGGCGACTCCCCCGCCAGCTTCCTGCAGCGGGCTCGCTTCGTCGCCGGCCCACGCGGCAGGCCCGAGCCGTCCGCGCCAGAGAGCGGATCCCCGCCCGCGGGGCTCTCCGCGCTGCCTGCCGCCCGCGAGGCCGACGACTCCAGGACTGCGAACAGCGATAGCACGAGCTCCTGCATGCTGCTGCCTGCCTCGGCCTCGGCGCCGCGCGCGGGAAGGGCGCCCTCCAGCGATCCCGCGGGCGCAGCTGCCTTCGCCACCTTCGCGCCCTCTCGGACAGGACGTCCGCGAGGCTGCGCTTCGGCAGCTTGGCAGCCGCGGCAGGAGCGTCTGCAGCTGCAACCTCTGCATCGCGCCCCGCAGACTCCGCCGCGTCGGCGAAGCGTCCTTTCGCCTCTACCAGCTTGTGGCGCACAGCCTCCCGGCGCGCTCGCTGGTCCGACGGGGGCTTCTCCGCATCGGCCAGGGCGTCCTGGCCCATCAGCTCGCCGAAGGGTCCAGTAGGCGGCGCCACCCGAGCCTTCGGGCGACTCGCACGGCGGGCAGCACGGGAGTGGCCGCCGCCGCCAGCCTGCGGTCCGAGGTGCTCGGGCCAGACCGCCTCCGCCTTCAGCGTCAGGCATTCGTCGACGGCCGCCTCGACCTCCGCGCGGTCCAGCCGCGTGGCCGTCGTCGACGTGCACCAGCTCTTTGCAACCACGAGGATGCTTAACGCTGCAGAGCGAAATCCCGCAAATGTGCAGGAGGAAAGGCTCCATGATCGCGCCAGGCGCTCCGGCGTGCGACGCCCAGCAGTCCCGATAGGCGTCGCTGCTGAACAAGAGCCGCCCCCTCACAAGCAGCTCTGGCCCCTGCCCGACGCGCGCCGCCAGCCAGAGGAAGGTGCACTGCTCGCCCCCGCTCGCGTCGCGGCCGACGCTCTGGTACACCTCTCCTGGCACGATCTGCTCGGGCTCGACCATGACGGTCACCCCCTCCAGCAGCGACGGGAACTACTCCTCGTCGCCGTGGGCCTCCCCTCGTTCAAAGGGCCGTCCGCGCCGTCTTTGGAGCGGCGGCCTCGGCCATGGGCAGCCAGCCCAACGGCCGCCGTGGGCCACTGCCCCGCCAAGAGCGTGGCGACGCCGCGCGATGCCACGGCGGACGGCCTTCCCGCGCACCTCGGGCAGCGGGGCACCCCGAGGCGCGGCAAGGGGGGAAGGCCCCTCTGGCTCGCAGCCATGAGTCCTCTGCTGTGGAACGGAATACTGCGTGCGTTTCACGTTTCACGGGAAAAAGGTATGACCATCCAGGTTTGCACACGGACATACAAGTTGTATACATATATGTGTATATATTTGTATGTATATACAAAAATGTATATATATATAGATATATACATATGTATATATATACATATATATATATATATATGTGCACTTGTTGTGCATACATATACAAATGTACAGTTAAAATTGTGTGCGTCCCTCTCTATAGCTAGATAGGTCTACTCCCCTATTGATGTACAGACGTACGCGTATATATTATACATCCATACATGTATATGTTCGTAACTAAAATTACATGTATATTTCTGTATATGTATAGGTATAGGTATGTCTAGAGGGACGTGCTTGACCCTTCTTTGATAGATAGGAGCCCCGCCAGGCTTCTGAGATGGCCACCCCTCTCGCCTGTCCCCCCCCCCCCGCCCAATGTTCGCGGCCGAGCCGCCTGCGTCCCGCGGTACGCGCTGACGCTGTGGCGGCTGTCGCGCTCGCGCCGGCGGCACCCGGTCGTGAGCTTGCACCTCCATCTGCCAGAGGGCCCAGGGTGAAATCCAACTGGGCTTGTGCACCTCGAAAAATCGATCCGTTTTGTGATTCACCTTTTCCAGATTCAAGCCTCGAAGATCCATCGAAACGGCATTTCAGATTTCACCCTTTGCCCTCCACCCAAAGAAAATGCTCGGCTATAGTCGGACTTGATTGAGCAGGAAGCCCGAGAGGACACAATATTCTTCCGACTGCAACGTGGCTCGAGAACACCTTTCAAAGACATTCGAGTTGCAAGCGTCGGGGTAGACAGGACACAAGGGTACCCTCGATTCGGCACGGTCGACCTACCAATCAGGGCCGACTGTGCAAGACTCGTCGGAATTAAACTGACGATGATTGTCTTCGGTGTTGGGGTGGTCGGCACCACCTCAGTGCTGGCCTGAGATATTCGGCCCAGACGCAGGGGTGTCCGAGAGCTGGCAATACTTTCACAGCCTCATGGGAGCCTCCCGTGCCATCTTGTTGGCTCTTGCGAATTGGCGCTGACCAGCGCTAATCGACGCTAGCCGACGCAAATCGATGCTAGATCGACGCTGATCGACGCTAAATCGGCGCCGCCTCGCCGATTCTGCAAACGCACGCTGATGTATTCTAAAAACGGAATTCTGGGGACATACAAGGGGTCCATGACTTGCTACCGAAAGCACCGGTGCTGGAGGGAGTCGTGCCAGTAGCTCCAGAATCCGCAGCGGTGGTTGGCGCACTTTGTGCGGCAGTCCTCTGGGGAAACCAAGGATAGGGAACATAACAACCCTTTTAGATCCTGGCGTTGCCATTTTTCACACCAGGCGATTTCGCCCGGTTTAGGGCCCCAGGACCATCACATATCGATCCAGCTTGAAAATTAACGCGAAAAGATGGGGTCTAGGGCTCTGGTAATGCTTTCCCGCGATGTTGACATTCCTGGCAACGTCAGATCTCAGGGTACACCGATACAGATACTCCCCAAACCGATCCAAAGGAACCCGATAGCATAGGACGGAACAAACAATCATGCCAGCGCAGGGTTCCCGGCAAATGGCTGGAGTGCCACCAGAGGCGACCGCACACTGGACCTGACCCATCGGCCCATCGGCCGTGGACATGCAGCCTCAGGGCCACAACGAGTTGGGTCAACGATCGGGCCTCGTGGTCACCACCCAGAAAGGGATCGGCAGACCCGAGCGCTGACCAATCCCTACCTGGGTCCCGGGCACAAGATACCCAAACCGCTACTCCCTGGCCCTCTCCCGATGTCTCCCAGGGTGCGTTCTGACCAGAACTTCGAGGCGGATCCAGCGGTGGCGACGAGGGCCTCCCCAGAGGCCCAGAAAGGCGACAACGAGGCAAGGCAGCAGTATCGGTACTACACCCCTCTGGAAAAAAAACAATGTAATTTTTGCGTCGAAACATCGTCAGGGTCGTAGTTTTTCATCATGGGTCTGTTTCTCACGGTCCCGGGGGCAAGAGTAGTACTAAGTGACCCCCCGCGGCAAAATAGAGCAACTTTTGCAGGTCGTGTCGAAAAATCGTCCAGGGGAACTCCCTGGGGGTAGTGTTTTATCCCGGGTCCGTGTCTGACGGCCCCTGGGCCCGAAAGAAGATGCTCCCAGAGGCCCAAAACCATGAACACCCACAGATCGACTGTTGCAGTTGCATTACTGTTCTAGGGCGGTGAATAATCTGAGGAGGTCTCCACTAATATGCAAAACACATATTTGGCTTCTGGGGCTAAATTGATGGTCGCCGACACCCATCAATAATCAGCAAAGAATGAATCCGCCACCGCCAGATCGAGCGCGAGCGAAGGAGGAGGATAAGAGGAGAAGGAAAGGAGGAGGAGGAGGAAGGCGAGAAGAGAGAAAGAGAGAGAGACAAGGACAGGACGCGCGAAGAGCGCCGGGAGCGGCGCCAGAGGCGCCGCAAGGAGCGTTCAGCGCCGATCCATACAATCCGTGCGGAGCTCTAGATACGTGTATGGCTGTGAAGTTTAGTGTCCCACGGAGGATCACTACTCCAGCAACCTGCAGGTCGGAAGTTATGGAAGTTGGAGGGTCAGGAGTAGTTATAGGGTATGGGTCTGTCTTTCCCTCCTCGGATCCTCCCAGCCCGTGGTGGGCCCATCGTACATGGCGGGCGAGCCAGCGCAGAAACCAGCGCCCGGAGCGCCCACGAGCTCGTCCAGCGGCGGCTGGGACTGCGGCGGCAGGTCCAGCACCTGTCAAGCACGCGCGAGCCGGCCAACACAGACCGTGCAGCAGGGGACGTGCACGAACAAATGTGCTAACGCTGCGAGCGCGTTGGTTCACGATCCGCAATAACGGCCGTTACGGGGGATGCTCCACCCTGCCCCCTTCCACCAAGTAACGTCACGGATCGCGCCGGCGCCGTGTGGGAACGGGGTAGGTGATTCCCAGACGGCGCCGGCGCGGATGGTGACGTTCCCGCCCCCCCCTCTGCCCTCCCCCCTAGCCTGGTAACGCCCGTTCTCGCCAGGGAACCCGCCGACCCCCGTTTCTGACGTGCGTGAGACGCGTTTCCGTTTGGGTCGTCGTCGTCGTCGTCGTCGTCGTCGTCGCCGCTCCCCCCTTGCGGAACTGATTCGAAGGGAAGCCCCTTCCCTTTGATCCCTTCCCTGCCGAGGGGAGGAGGGGGGGAGTCTCAAAGGGGGGCTTCTCGGGGGGGGTCCTGGGGTGGGGGCCCAGGGGGTGGCGGTAAGATAAAAGAGTCCATGAGGAGGAGGAGGAGGAGGAGGAGGAGGAGGAGAAGGGAGAGGAGGAGGAGGAGGAAGAGGAGGAGGAGGAGGAGGAGGCCTGGGGGGTCCCTGGTCGACTCAAAACCCCTCCCCCCGCCTCCCCACTGTGGACAAACGGGACCACCACCACCAACCCGCTTTCGTATCTGCTGCTGCGGGATTCTGCGTAGTTTCCAGCATGCCTCCACGAGGCCTCAGATCCGCGCCGAGGCGGCTCCAAATGAACACGGAGCTTTCCAAGCAGTCCTCCAAGAGGCCCTTCAACAGAGGCTCCCAAGGGACCCAAGAGCGTCAGCGTCGTCGTCGTCGCGGCCATCGTGTCGTCGTCCCACTTCAGGGTCGGCGGCGCCGGCCGTAAGGTCTTCCCAAAAAGAAGTGCTCTCGATGTGTCATCCTTGGAGGCGTGCACCCGACCCGAACATAGTACAACCATCTTGGGGTATGCCGTTTCCAGAGCGGTACGGCCAGCAAGCGCCCGCCACCGAACACATACTGTAAGATTTTTCTCAGCGCGCGCGTCGCCCCTGGGGTGCAGACGCAGACATAGTATCAGTAGTTTGGGGTGATGCCGATAGCAAGTTCGATGGGAAAGCATAGGGAAAACATGCTTAATCTGGGGAGGAGGCAAAAGGGGAGAGCGCGTGTTTAAGAGCGGCGAACGTATCCATATCCGCGCCCTCGCAGCTTGGATTCCAGGGCGCGATCCAGCGGATACGCGGTCGTACGGATGCGTTCCGCGCAGGGAACGCGAAAAAACGGACGCCATCCGCTTGGTCGCGGCCCAGGGGCCTGGCCCGTGAGGCCGCGGATCATTTTTTGTCGCCCACGACGTGTAACAAACGTAGTAGGAAAGCGTACGGAAACCAGGCTTAGTGACTGGTTTGTGGTGTCAACGCGTCTGTGAGGCTCGTATGCGATCGCGGCAGTGCTGACCACCAGAGCGCGCAAGTCGGTCAGCAACAAACCGGGCACAGGGTCAACAGGGAAACGCGAGCAATCCTTGGCGGCGCGCGCACGGGGGATAGGGGGAGGGGGGAAGGCTTCTTAGCAGGAGGCTACCTCTTAGTAGGCGCCGGCCCCACATCTGCAGACGAGGCCCGCGCCCTCCGAGCAGCAGAGGCTCCTTCCAAGAAGCTCCCCCCCAGGAGAGCCCAGGATCGGATCGACAAGTCGGATCGGCGATCGACATGAATCGGATCGTCGGAAATCGGCAGCTGAGTCGGGAAAAATCGGATCGGCAGAAACCGGCAGGCTAGTATGCCTCCAATAAGAAATCGGAACTCAAATCGGAATCCCAGATCGAATCGAATCGGAAACGGAAACCATCGAAATCGAATCGAATCGAATCGGAGGAATCGAAACGAGCCCGGGCCCCCCCCTCCCCTGGGCCCCCATGTGCGCGCGGCCGGCCAAAACTCAGTGCCCGGGGTGTGCTGACCGGTCCGCGCACCGGTGCACCTGGGGCGGCGGCGCGGGGGCCCTCGCGGTCGCCGGGGCGGACGGGTCGAACATAGACTCGAACGTCTCCATCCTCCGAGGGACGGAAAGAGCGGCATACAGTCAACAGCGATGGTGCCCGTCGGTGGGCAGAAAAGGGGTGCAGTCAGGAAACGGAAAGGCGGGAAGCAGATCGGGTTTCCGCCCGCCCCCTGAAGAGGGGGGAAGATGGAAAACCGCTGGACTGTTGAGGTCGGAATGCGGCTGAAGTACATTGGGATCTCGGAATCCAACAATACCTACTTTCAGCGACCAGCGTGTAAGGATGCGCGAAAAGAATGCGAGGGCCTTGAACGCCCATGCCGAAGCTTTTCGAGGTTGGGGATGGACTAGGATGACCGAAGAGGCAAGGACGCAATGGTACCCTCGGGAAGTCGATCATCATGACTATCAATTTGAACTGTAAACCCAAACATGCGTCGAGAAAGAGTCACGACGGGCAATTTTGACGCATTCGTCATCTCATGGCCCTCGCCGGGCCCCGAGGCCCTCGAACAACGAATTCGGGCAAAAAAATCGGCCCTGAAGAAGGGTCGCAACTTCTGGGGACCACGTGTGAACAGAAACAGGCATCGCATGCCTGAGAACATTGGATGGAGGCTTGTGGTAGGCAGGGCCGGTGGCGTCCACATTTCTCATCGTACCTCCGACTGCTGTGTAAGACGTGCAGTTGCGGATTTGGGTGAGGGGGCGAGTGAGTAATCCGAGAGGGCCGCTTAGGACAGCGAGGGGTGCTGGGGCATCCCAATCCTTCTTCGGAGGGTTTCGGCTCAGAGGCCAAAGAGCGAGCTTGGCTCAAGCGCTTTGGGCGGTAAGGCCGGAGGAACAAGCAATGTCTGAGCACGCACCCGTCTTGTCGCCTAGACTGCAAGCATGTGTGCCCACAGGGGTGCCAGAGACGGTTGTTTCAGAACAGTATTTGGTGACGAAGAACCTCTGTTCGATTCTCAAAGTGCATAGCTGGTTTGATTAATCAGTAGACGCTGTCGCAGAGTTGGGCGGTGAAGCCCAGTATAGCCCGGCAGTGGCCAGAGAATTCTATGCACGTGTAGATCGGAATGCTTCTGCGGCCGTCAGGGGACATGCCCGTGCAGCGTTGGCCAGGGGAGAACGAGTCCTTCGCGGCCCCTTGCAAGCACTGGCAGAGCCCGCGACCAGCTGTGGAGAATTACCGTTGGTAAGTGTTTTTCCTGGGAGGATGGGGCGCAAAGTGGGAACGATGGAACAAAGCTGCCAAGACCCAGAGACAGCAGAGCTGGCCAAGCAGGTTGGGTTAGTGCTCGATTTCGCCTTCCAAATTGGGGACGCATCGCGGAGACTCAGGGTATGGGCCTTCAAAGGCCTCAGCTGGGAAGATCAATCGGCTCTCTTGCGGCCTGTCGTGATCAGAAGGGCTTCCGTGGCGGCGACGGTGCGATCCCACCTGCGGAACCTGGCGCAGCTGCAGAAATGGGCAGAGGCGGCCGGGCTTCAGCCATGGACGTTGGACGCAACTGATGTCGCGTTGTCTCTCCGCGACGCCAGCGGTAGTGGGGCGTCAGTGCCAAAAACATCCTTTGCGTCGCTCGGGTGGGCGAAAGAGGTATTCCAGTTCTCGTGGCCGTTGGATGACCCGCTGGTCGAGGCCCAGAGATGCATGTCAAGCAAGCAGAAAGCAGACAGAGGAGCAGCGGCAGCAGGCGAACCCGCTGACAAGGGCAATCGTCGATTGCCTTTGGAGCAGCTTCTTTCTGGCAGCGGAAGCACGCGACGCAACGCTTCTGATTGCTGTTGGGTTTGTGTTGGCGCTGACGTTTGGCTGTCTTCGCTGGGCAGACCTACAAAGGTCCACGTCCTGCAATCTGTCGCGGGACGCGCTGTACGCAGAAACGTGGAGGTCAAAGAAGAACATCGGCAACATTCCGTGGGCCGCCCTGCGGAGGGATCGGCACGGGCGCGACTGGGGCGGGCAGCTTCACGGCGCCGTGAGCCGTTACGTGGATCTTGCTGTAGCGGACTTTATCGTGCCAGCGATGGCGGTGGAGTCTGGCAAGATAGTCGTTCTGAGCCCAGCGCGCCCGGAGAAATCTTCTGGCGCGCTGAATGTCATGAGGCGGGTGCTGCGCGTGTTCGGCGGCTTGGACAACACCGCCGAGTGGCCGTTGCACAGCCCGAGATTTTTCTTCCGGACGCTTGCCGGCCCGCTTCGCTTCCCCATGGAGGAGCGCCGGACATTGGGCAGGTGGGGCCCCGGCTCGGGATTGCCCGTGCGCTATGATCGTGCGCCCTGTGTAACTGAATTGCTTCTCAAGTATGACATGGTGGGGCGTGTCCGAGATGGGTTTGCGCCTGCGCGGGATTTCGAAGTCCCAGAATCGCGTGCACCTTCGAAGGCGGCTGCGGCGTTTGCGGTAAGGCAGACGTTGCTAGCGAGCCGCGCCGCGCCAAAATGCAATATGGTGCTCAACAAGAGCAGCATGATGTTGCACTGCCAGTGCGAAAAAGAACCGCGCCGCACGCGCTGCTCATTCTGGTGGGCACGGTCACGGGCGCCAGTAGAAGCGATTCGGGGGGCACCTGGCGATTACGAAGATCGGTTCGTAAGGTGCGAGCGTTGCTGGGGTAAAACCTCAGGCGGCGTCCCGCAATGGTCTCGACCGGAATCCTCCGGCGAAGAGGAGGGAGCGTCGCTTGTCTGGAATGCACGAGATTTCTCTGGGTCAAGCAGCTCTGCATCCTCGAATCATAGCGTCGCCCGGTAAGGGGCTAGCGCTGGGGCAGTGCAACGCGGTAATGCGGAGCTATTAATGCCCAGCCCTGCACGTGGGGACGCGTTGGGAGTTAGGCCTGGGCAGATCGCGAACGTGACTGTCCCAAAGAGATCCTTGAGAGAAAAAAGACAGGGCGACAGATGGAACCCCAAACAGGGCCCACGTAAGTGCAAGCACTCTTTGGGGAATCGAGGTGCTGCGTGGACCCCAGACGGTGCCTGCGCGGCGTAGGGCAAGCGCTGTTTGGGAATCGGCGGTGCGACCGTCGTCGTCGTCGTCGTCGTCCTCCTCCTCCTCCTCTGCACGCCCCCCTCATCCTTTCTTTTTCTTATCCTCGGTAGTAGACAGGAAGGAAGTAGCAGAGCCAGGAGTGCGCGGACGATGAGAATTGGATGGAGGCTTGTGGTAGGCAGGGCCTGTGGCGTCCGCATTTCTCATCGTACCTCCGACTGCTGTGTAAGACGTGCAGTTGCGGATTTGGGCGAGGGGGCGAGTGAGTAATCCGAGAGGGGCCGCTTAGGACAGCGAAGGGCGCTGGGGCATCCCGATCCTTCTCCGGAGGGTTTCGGCTCAGAGGCCAAAGAGCGAGCTTGCCCACCCGACAATGTCTCCCAACCCAAATAAAACAAGCATGGGAAGTGGCTTTCCCACCAGACAAAGTATCCCACCCCAAATAAAGCCTGTTGTGAAACATATCAAATGTTATGGGTACATCAGGTCTGCCTCAGCACGTGGCCCCCCGAACAGTACGTGCAAGCATTGGGTTGGGATGGCCTTCTTGTTCTTCTTCGTTGGATTGCGACGGCCGTGTGTCTCGGGATCCGGGTTCTCGGTGCAAAGATACGCCCGTCTGCGAGAGACGCCAAGCCCTGCCAGTGCGATGAGTGAACAGATCCGCGCTGGCGCTCACATGGGGCCAAAGGCATCTCAACTGTCGACAGCTCTGGCGCTGCCAAGTATCATGCCATTTGAAATAGTACAGACACGGTCAAGCAAAAAAGGGGCGCCTGGGGCAGGCTTTTCGAGGTTGACGCCTCCAGGGAAACATGGTATATTACAACGCATCTGATGTCACATGCATAGGTTGGTTCCGTGCCAGAGATTAACGCACGCATGCACGCTGGGGAGGAACATCCAAGCCCCATATGCATCGTTACAGTTGTTTGCTACGGGCTCGTCAATCGAAGCTGTCCGGAGCCATTGTGGCTCGAACACGAGGGGCCTACACGCAACGCAATTTCCAGCCGATACGAACAAGCCTCCGTAGGCAAAGCATGGCGTTGGAGATTGATGCTCGGCTGGACAAACTTCTTCGCAAGCACGGTGTCGACGACAAGGTGTTTGAGTACCTGAAAACAAAGCAGATGGTAACAAGCTGCAAGTTCGATGGCCTAGCGGAACCGAAGGCCGACATCGGCGAGGGCATGTGTACCCCTGCGGGGTTGTATGCGTCGGACAGGCCGCTGTGCCAGCCGGTAAAGGCTGCGTGGCAAGAGGCCGCAGCCCTGGTCATTGGTGAGCTGGAACTCACCAACAAGGGTAAGTCCGGCGACTGGGAGGACCCAGTGGACCCAGAGGTGCGAGCCAAGAAGACAAACACGTTTGTGGAGTACTACCACGTCCGTCCTGCCAGCCCACCTCCTGGGAAACGATGCGCTGATGGGGCGCTTGGTGCGCGCGCACGAGCGCAAGGCCCCCACGGTGCACGACCTCAGGAAGGCGCGCGCCCTCGACAACGACACTGCGCAGCACAGGCCCGGGGACACCAACATGTCGGCCCACGCGTTCACCTACAAGCACCGCGTCCTCATGAACACGATGGCGTGGGCCGCCGCGCCAGACTGGGCGGTAGCGGAGTGGTCGGTGTTGTTGGACTACCACGAGTGGGCTGTGCTCAAGGTGTGCGAGATGAAGAACGGGCGCCTGCCCAGCGTGGAGGCCGTGAGGCGAGGAGACCAGCAGATGCGCGCGAAGTGGGTGGACGCCACGCGCAACGACAACAACACGCTCACGGAGGCCGTGAAGGAGTGCAGGACCGAGTGGGTCTCCCTGTTCGCAGAGCTCCTCGCTGACTGGGCCGCCGCTGGCAGCCAGGGCGACGGGGCTCCTGCGCCAGCTAGGAAGGCCCGCGCGGCCCTCGAGACGTGGCCGACAGCTCGGGCAAGGAATTCTACAAGTTCTACAGCAACGGCAAGTGCAACTACGGGAAGCGGTGCACGTTCAAGCTCGCCTGCAACGTCAAGGGGTACGGGGGTGAGCACCCAGCAGGCGATAAAGAGTTCCATCCGTGATCCCCCTGTCACGGGGGACGCTCGCCCTCGGTGAAGAAGAGGCCAGCGATGCTCGAGTGAAGATGCTCCTGCGCCGCGCGCAAAGTGTCTGAGGGAGCTGTCGCGGGTGAGCCGCGGGGTGGGCTTCGGTGGCGCTCGTGACGTGTCGGTCATGGCGCGCGCGGGCCGCGCGATTGCTGGCGGCCTGCAGCCGCGGAACGCCGGTGCGGCCCTTCTGGTGCCGGAAGGCGTTGGGCCTCGGGGATCCTTGGAACACGTGACATCCTTGGAACACCCGATGTGCGCCCTTCCCACCTTGCACGCTTCGGTAGAGGAAGCGTGCCGGAGGCAAGTCGCCGATCCGGAGGCGGTGAGGAGAACCATGTTGCAAGCCTGCGCGCTCATGTCAGAGTGGGCGAAAGATCTGGAACCCGAGAGGGAGGCTCGGGCTGCCGCTTTGCACCCCGACGTGCGCCGGGTCATCGGCCACCTGCACGGCCCCCTCCTGAAGCTGGTTGGCGCGCCTGGGCACCCAGACAAGACGTACTTCGAGTCCTTGGGTACCGGGCGGCCAGCTCTGGGTGCAATCCAGCCTGCAGGCCTCTGGAGAGCGGCTGAGTCTGTGGCGTCGGGCGATCTGCAGGACTATGCGACCGTCGTCCTCCTCCTCCTCCTCCTCCTCCTCCTCCTCCTCTGCACGCCCCCCTCGTCCTTTCTTTTTCTTACCTTCGGTCGTAGACAGGAAGGAAGTAGCAGAGCCAGGAGTGCGCGGACGATGAGAATAAACTGTTGGAGCTCGGCGCGGATTTCTTGGATCGGCGCTGGGCGCACCTCACTGGCGCACTGAGCGCGCCACGGGGCGCCAGCGCAGAGCAGCGCGTCTGCTGGTTCCTCTTCCTCGAATCCTGGCGAGCTCCTCCTTCGCGGGGGCCGCCATCAGCTCCCGCAGCACCGCGTGGGAGTGCGCCGACGTCACCTGAGCAACGAAAAGAAGCGGGCCCCACGCAAGATGACACAGCGACCCTACGCGATGGCTTATACCCGGGCTGCGAGCGCGGCGCGCTACACTGGAGACGAGGGATTATACGCTCGACCTTGCGTCGGACGCCCGAATCATCAGGCATACTTCCAGGCCAGGGCAACTCCGAGTTAAGCCCCCGACGCAAGAACCAGGAGCTGCCCCTGGCCACCGCCAGCCCCCGATGATTCGGGAATGGGTGGGCGCCCGAATTTTCGGGCCCAGACATGCGACGTCCTGATTTTTTCAAGACGGCGTCCCCGAAGTCCAGACCCCTTCCCCAGGGTCAATTTTCCATCCGGAGACGGTTTTTGACGGTCCCGGGGACCGGCGACGACCCCCAGGGTCCGAAAATAGCGAAAAAACGCCCGTCCCGATTTGTTTAACGACGCGATCATGTCTGGGGGGATAACTCCGATCTGGGGTACTTCCGGTCTGGGCCCCCGAGTCACGAACCAGGAGCTACCCCTGACCGCCCCCAGCCCCCGATGATGTGGGGCTCGCGAATATGTCGGCGCAGTGCTGCCCCGACAGCCAACACGCACCGTGTGAACACGGACGTATTGAGCACGATTCGTAATGCGTTTCGGCACGGCGGGCGTGTCAGAGCAGACACGCTCGCGGCTTCACTTGGGACGCTTGCTCGCGCATGTCGGCGCCATCGACCCCATTTTCTCTTGTCGCTCGCCTGGACCGGCCCTACACACCCGACCCTTTCCCCGGGGCCTCTTCCCCGACCAGTCCCCAGAAGTCCCGACCCTCTCCCCAGTCGTTTCTGTTGCCGCTCCAGGGGCCCGGCGAGGGCCCCCAGAGCCCGAAAATTGCCCCCAACCTCCTGTCCTGATTTTCTCACGACGCGGGCATGTCTGGGGAGCTCTGATCACGCGCGGACGTAGGCGCACTCGACTCCGCTTCCTTCCGCCGCTCGCCTTCTCCCTGTGGACCGGCTGCGGCGAGGCGCCGGGCTCAGCCTCCGCCGGACCCTCCGCGCCGTAGGCGTACGGCGCGGGGCCGGAGTGCAGCACGGTGTTTACCAGGAACACGTCGAAGTTCGCGCCCTCGCAGAGGAGCAAGCCCGTGGGCGAAAAATAAATCCGTGCCCAGTGCCCAGGGGACCATAAACGATATACAACGACATAAGCGTCACAACTCGGGGACCATGCGCGGATTCCTCGGATCGGCGATGGGGCCTCCTGGCAGCGCCTTGGGCGCCGCCCCTGGTGCGCTCCACGTGCCAGGGAGGGGGGTTCCAACGCCGAGCCGGGGACTCCGCGCGGACCTCCGAGTTTTTGTATTTATGCAGTTATGCCATTGTTTGTTCCCCTGGCCATCCCCAGACCCACTCTCCCTATATTATCTTCGGCCTCGTGGAACCCTCGCCGGCCCTCGGGACTGGTAGGAAACGGCTCGGGATGAAGAGCTGGTCCTGGGAAGCGGGTCGAGACCTCAGGGGGTCCGACGCTGTGAACAAAGCATGACGTCGAAAGGGTCTTGGTCTGCGGCCTCGTTGGGCCGCGCCCCCGCGGATAGTAATCACGGGGCGTTTTTGTTCGCAGCTGCCCCGTGCGGGCGGCATGCGCGTGCGACCGCGTAATTGTCCGCGGGATCGCGCCTGGGAGTCCAGACCGCGATCGCGCGGATACGGAGAATTACGTTCGCCGCTCGTGGCACAAACGGCAAACGGCATAAGCTTCCTGAGCTCCGCGCGGATGTCCCAAATCGGCGATGGGCCTCCCCTGGCGGCGCCTCCAGCGCCGCCCCTGGCGGCGGGGGGGGGCCCAGCGCTTGTCCCAGAGATCCGCGGGGAGCTCCGAAACCTAAGCCTACGCAGTATTAGGTTCCAGCTCGCGCTACTCCCCCGAACCGGCGCTCCTGGAATGCGCACTGTAAATTTGGGCAAATAATCTGGTCGTGGCGGCGAGGGCTCTCCAGGACGAGCAGTGGCATCGGCATCTTTTGGAGAATGTTTTCTTTTAGATTCAGGCAGTTTACTTGCACTTGCATGGCGTTCGCCCCCCCCCGCCCCCTCGCCCCTCTTCAGACGAATACTAGCGTGCAAGTGCCTTCCGACTTGCGCGACTTCCGCACGTGCAAGTCGCGTGCTGCTTGCTTCAGGTTCAGCCCCCCCCCCGTCCATACAAGACAACTTGCCGGAGTCTTTGAAGAAAAATAGGCTCTCTGAGAACTTCGGAAAATAATCCAGTCGTGGCGACGAGAACTCGTAAACGAGGCCAGGCTCGCCGCCGACTTGTTGCGCCCCTGGCCTCGGGCGCCCTCTCCTTCAGGCAGCTCCGCCCGCGGAGCACGCAGCCGCAGTGCCGCCGGCCGTCCTGCGCGGTGCCGAAGTAGAGCTCGGGCCCGCACAGCCCGTCCTTTCAGCAGGGACCGACCGTCCCGGCATTCCTATAGTCCTACCACGAAATTCTCTTAGAACTCAAAAATTCTTAGAACATTAGCCCGATGTGTTAAAACATGCTGAAGACAAGACGGTCTCAACCAGAAATGTTCTAAGAGCATTTCGTGCAAACCACACAAGGTTCTTAGAACATTCTTTGGTAGGCCTATAAGCGAGCCAGGACGCTTCGCCACTGCTTGAGTCCTGCTCCGCTGCCGCGGCGCAGGCCCGCGCGGAGCTCGTGGCCGCGTCGCCGGCCAGCGTCACGCCGGCGAGCTGCTTGCGGTCCACGCCCTCGAGCCCGGCGCAGAGGTGGCCCTCGCGGAGGGACAAAACCATCCTCGAGAGCCTGGCGCTGTGCAACTCTCCCGCCACGGGCGTGTGCTCGCTCCCTCTCGGGCCCGGGGACCCTCACAGATCGATGCGGCTCGAAGACTGCCGCAGGAAATTGGGGTCCGTGGCTCCGGCGGGGATATTTTCCGACGCTGCAATTTATCGCTGCAACGTCGGAGCTCCAAGAAGCGAGCGCGTAGCGTCGGGAGGCCACAGCAGAGCAGAGGCTTTCGGGGCCGCGCATTCGGCCTCCGGAGGCCCTCGCCGGGCGGCAGGGCCATCGGCATACGGCTCGGGGTGGGAAAGCCTGCCCTGGGGGAAAGGGTCGGGACTTCTGGGGGCCCCGACGCAGTGGAACAAACAAGACATCCCATGTCCAGGAATACAGCCTGGCCGCTGAACCAAGGAACACTAGCTAAGGAACGAAGCCCCTTTTTGGCCCCACCAGCGCCTGAGTGCATGAGGAGCGCTAGAGCCACAGCCATGAAAGGACATAAGGAACATCGAGCCCCTTCCGAACCCAAACTGTTCCTTATTTCGGCGTCTCGGCTGCATAGAAACCTTCGGAGCTCCGCGAGGATGTCTTGGAGCTGCGCTGAGCTACCCCGCCCTGGCGCAAGGAGCGCGCCAGGAGGCGCAGCCGGAGGCGCCGCCGCGGAGTTTCCCAGCGACGATCCAAGAAACCGCGCGGAGCGACGGAAGTTTAATTGCGATTTGTCGATATTCGGCCTCGTGCTCCACACCAGCCCGCTCCTGAGGAAACCAAAAATCAGCGGCAAGCATGGGGGAGAAACGCAAAGGGGCGGGCCTTTTCAGCAGGCTCGGAAGGCTATTGGCCTTCTGACAAGTGCTCGAAGCCTTCCCCGAAGGCACTGACATCTCCTCAGAATGCGCGAGGGTTTCGGAGAAGCCCCGCTGCATTCCGAGAAGGCATGCTCCTTCTCACTTTCCACCTGGGCACGCCGCCGAAAAAGGCACCGATGCCGCGAATTACTCCCCAGACCTCTCCCAGGGTGCGTCCTGACAAGGAACTCGAAGCGAATCTAGCGGTGGCGACGAGGACCTCCCAGGAGGCCGACGAAGGCGAACATCAGGTAAACCGTGAGATCCGGCGCTGCGAAAGCAAATCCCCATGACGAGAAGCCGAGGCCTAGACCCCGTCTTTCTGCTGCACTTGCGAGCTGACCCGATCCGTGAAAGGTGAGTAGGCGTAAAAGGACCCCTAGCCCTCTGGGAGGCGACCTGATTTAGGAGGGCCAGGAGCATCAGGGATAAAGGGGGTCTTTTTCCTGAAGATGTATCGAACCAAACCGCCCATACATCAGTCAGGCCACGTCTTCATCATATTATTAATGTGAGGATTCTTTTGTTCAAGACGAAGAAGGACCCCGGGCCCGAAAACGTTTTGGGGGGCCTGCGGCCGCGAGAATCCTCAAAACACAGAGTATGCGGGCGACGGAGGGGCGCAGCCGTAACTAGCGCCTTGGGGCACGACAAGCGCGGGGGGCGCGGGGGGGCGCGCGGTTGCGCGGGACGCGGGGGGGCCGGAAAAGGGGGCCCGCCATACGAGGAGGAGGAGGAGGATGAGGAGGAGGAGGAGGAGGAGGAGGAGCCGAGCGTGCCGAGGGGGCGGCTCCAGGCTGCCGTGGCCGCGCGCCCCAGCGCGCCGCCTGCGGCACGCCGCGCTCACCTGCTCACAGGCGGCGCATCAGGAGGAGGATGAAGCGCTCCTTCCTGTCCCAGTACTTGGTCACGATGATGAAAACGAACGTTGTTGTCGCCCAGCTCACCTTCGAGAGGATGATGGCGCTGGTGACGCCGAGGGCCCCGCTGGACGACGGGGGGCCTCCGCGTGGACTTCGAGGCGCGCAGGGGCGCCTTGGCGACGGAGCGGGCCGCCTCCTCCGAGACGAGCAGCTCGCCCCTGAGGTTGTGGTACGTGTTGCACGTGACCACGATGAGCTCGATGGCTTCGTTGGTCATGTCCGTGAGGCCGAGCTTCGCGAACTCGGCACTCATGGGGGGGGCATTGCAGGCCTTGCCTACAGCCCGCGCCAGGGGCGCACATGTGAGATAGTGTCTGAGCGTGTCGTGGCCATGGCGGCAGCCGAAGATGCATTTCTTCTTGCCCATCGGGTGGATGATACGCCACGAAGTCAGCCATGAAAAACTGGAGATACTTCTCATCCATGTCGCTGCCCACGACGGAGGGAGGCGGCACATGGCCGCCCGCAGCTTGGAGGAGATGTCTGGGTTGTGGTGGAAGAGCTCTGCGAAGTGCGGGAGCTCGGCCACGATCCTCGCTTCAAGGAAGGGGCCGATGGAGTCAGGCCCGAGGGCCGCGAGTGCCCCCGAGAACGCGCCTCGCTGGGCGAGGTCAGGGCGGCCGTCTGCGATGGCCCCCAGCGCGCCAGCAACCGCAGGGCGCAGCAGGTTCTCTGGGTAGTAGATATGCTCGGTCGTGGACGTGACAACCTGGCGCAGCGTCTCCACGAACGGGGGCATCTGCCACCGCGGCGGCGACTGGTGAAGCGCGCCACGGGCAACCCTGATCAGAGTCTGCATGTCACCATACGAATTGAGGCCCTCGTGAAGCCGTGCTCGGATCTCAGGGAATTTGCTGAAGGTTGTGGCCGTAAAGCGAATGATCGCGGCCACCATCGCGGGCTGCAACGAACGCGGACCGTGGACGCCCCAAGCACGGATGTGCGGCCAGTCTTTGGCCCTGAAGGCACCGTTGGGGAATCGCAGCACCGAGGCGTTGATCCAGGTCTCGTTCTTGAAGTACTCGTGAGGGAGCATGGCGAACTGAGCGAGGTAGCTCAGGACAGGAAGTGCGCGGCTGTTGAACAATGCGGCTGGGTCCATGGAGGGGGCGTCACTAGCACTGAAGGCCTTGGCCCGCATCTTGAACTGATTGAAAGCTTTCTCGAAGATTCGCTTCTCGGTTGCGCCAGGGCCGATCAGCAGTCCGAGGTAGGTGAGGCGGTCGCAGATATTGATGTCCTTGAAGCACAGGGCGGTGTTGATCAGCGCGATGCGGAGCTTGTCGGCGAGCTCGCTGTTGACCTCGCCCGCGAGAGGGATGATGTGGCACTTCGGGGCATTCAGGGTGAGCCCCGCGAGCATGCCCATCGAGTCCGCGACTTCCGCCAGGTGGGAGAGGTGGTTGACAGCTTTGAGCACGAGCCCAAGGTCGTCAGCACATGCGCGGCATAGGCCTCGTCCCTGGTTCTGGGCTCTCTCAAGATCCGAGAGGAAACTGGCCGTGTCCACCGCATAGAGGGTGCCGCTCCACCCACGCCCTTGGATGATGCCCGAGCGAATGTATACCAGGGGGATGCATTGGCCAGCGCAGGGAACCATGGCGAGGACGTTGTGGTACATGGAGTCGAAGAAGTTGATGACGGCCATCGGTTCGCTTATAGCCTTAAGCGCCAGGCGGATGAACTGGCGTGCGAAGCTGGGGAACGCCTGGGCTATGTCGAGCGACACCAGCACGGGCAGGTTGTCCTTCGCGTCGGGGTCGGCGGACGCAATGCGGCTCTCCACGTCCAGTTCCAGCGCGTTGTAGCCGAAATTGCGGCCGTGGGTGAAGCCGCGCTGTGAGGCTGGGACCACCTTGGCTGCTACCGTGGCTGTCGCAGCGTTCATGGTGCTGCTGATGATTTTCATGGAAGTGTTGCGAAGACCCAAGACTCGGACCTTTGACGGGTCACGGTGGCAACCGCGGCGCTCCGAGTCTTCGGGCTCGCCCCCCTTGGGGGGGAAGGCCTGGGCCGTGGCATTGTACTCGTCGGGGAGGATGCCGCCGTTGAGCATGTAGCACATGACGCCCCATCGGGTCTCGGTGCACTTCTCGCGGGCGGACCAAGCAGTGCACGAGGGCCCGCCCACCCCAGGAGAGGTAGAGGAGGGGCGGGAAGCGAACTTCTTTAGGATGTCGTAGTCTGGCGGGGTGAAGCTGTTGAAGTCGATCATGGGCGAGAGCTGGCTGAGGTAGTCGGCTGCTTTGTCGAGGTCGGTTCGCTTGCCCTCAAAGACTGGCTGCCAGTGCTCGACCAGCTTTTGCAGCCTGTCCTTCGGCCCCAACACAATGCCCGCGCTAGTTTGGACGCCTGTCAGGATGAGCCTCTTGCCGATCGGGTTCCACAGCTTGATCTTCCACTGGAGAGCACGCGGTCGCGCACGAGCCTGCGCGGGGCGGAGGCGGCCCCGCTGAGCAGCAAGGTCGATGGCCGTCTGCCTTATGTCAGCATCTTGGCGAAAGAGATCACTGGCCCATTCCTCGAATTTGGCAGGGTCAATGAGCTCGACCCGATCGCCGTCCAACATCGCGTGATCCTGAGCAGACTGGTGCACACGGAGGAGACGGGCGGCGAGCTTGTTGTCTTGGCGCCACACGGCGCGGGCGATGGACTTGGCGACTTGGAGCTGGACGTCGCCGCTGTTCGGGGAGGTCTCGAGCATGTGGCCCCTGGTCTCCCTCACGATCTCACGGAGCAGCCCCGTGGCGAGGACGAGCTTGGACGGCGGGGACAGGTGGCTCATGTCGGTCGCCTCGAAGACCTTGTCAGCGATCTTCTTGAAGGTGGGGAACTGCGTGATGAACTGGGCGATGGGCTGGTTCTTGGCTGGCTTCATATCGCGCATGGTGAAGGAGACGAGGACGGCCGCGTGGTCGCTGACAAGGCGACGCGAGAGGTCCTCAGGGGTGGAGAAGGTGGCGGAGTTGACCGAGATTGCAGTATCTGTGTCGGCGTGAAAGAGCAGAAGCAGCGGTCAACCGTGGATTCAGCCTTCGTCTCTGCACAGTAGTGGGTGGTGTCGGCCCCCTCGATCTCGACAAGGTGTTTCAACGCGTCGCGCCACTTGCGTGCCGATGCTTTGGGCGATTCGGAACGCTCCGAGCTGGCTCTGGAATAAAGGTTTGGTGAGTTTGAGCTTCCCAACGGCAGCGAAGTTGAAGTCACCCATCACCACGAGGATCGTCTTGCTCGGGCTTGCCTTGGCTAGGTAGAGATCGCTGAGGATGCGAGTGGAGACGCGCTTGATGGCAGCGTTGCTGATCTCGTAGTTGTGGATGTTGTAGAATATCATATGCTGGGCGTTGGTGCGGAAGACGGCGCGGAGGACACGACCAGGACTGAGAGCATCGCTCTCAGCATGGGGGCCGGCAGGAAAGATGGTGGCCACCCCGCCGCTGATCATGCCATGGCGGCCTGGAGCGGAAGAGAAGTGCATGTCCAGCGTGCTGTCTATCTTCTTCATGAAAGCGCGGAGCTGCGCGATGTCCCGATGCACTTCTTGAGTGCCGAGGATCATCTTGCCGAGGGGGAGGGTCTTGAGGTACGCGGTCTTCTCGATGATTCTTCGGCCTTGGTAGCCGAGACGCGCTCGAGCATTCCATGTTCCCACGACCAAACTCGGGGAGGGACCACAGGCGGGTCTCTTCAGGCTGGTCGCGAGTTCGTCTAAGCCAAAACTGGGGGGCAGCTTCAGGGGCCACGGCAGCACTTGCGGAGGACTTGAGTTGCGCACGGTCGATGCCGAGCGCGGAGAGGCCGGTGTCCTGGTAGGAGAGCACGGGGGGATCGTCTCGACCAGGACGGACGGAGTAGCAGAGGGCGGGCGCCCAGCCAGCGAGGACCCAACCCTTGGTGCGGTCGACCCTCCAGGTGTGGTTCGGGAAGTCCCTCTCGAGCGCCTGCCTGATGCGTTTGCCCGTGATCTCGATCTTGATCTGCTTGGGCAACTTGTCGGGGCCGGCTCGAGGCTCAACTTGCCCTTGGCCCGCAGCCGCTGGAGCGTGGATGCGGGTCCAGTTGCCGTTGCGGTCGCGGAGGCAGTCGAGGACCTTCTGGACTCTCTTGGCAGCGACCCCAGGGCACCCCAGGAACTGGACCGTGAAGAACCTGGACGTAGGGTTCCCCTGGACCTTGAAATCTGACTCTTTAATGTTATTCTCTGTGATCCATTTTGTGAGAGCTTCCGTGGCCTTCTCGAGAGTGGCAAGGCCGTCGGCGTGGACTTTGACGACCGTGGCGTCGATCTCCCTGTCGAAGTCGCGGCTGACGAACTGGTTTTGGATCGGCTGCTTGTTGGCGACCTCGAGGGCCTGCTGGAGGTCTCTGATCTGGTTGGCCATCGCCGCGATGGCGGCGTCGGTCTTGTCGTGTCTGGACTCGAGCTCGCCCATCCTCTTGCTGAAGATGTCGAGCTGCTGCTGGAATTCATTGCGGGTGGGATCGATGCGTTGGCCAATGGCGAAATTGATGTCCTTCTCGATCTTGCCCGAGAGGCCGTTGATCGCGTCCTGGGCGGCCTGCAGGGCAGAGGTGATCGGCGCTGTGGCATCGCCCATCGCCGAGGAGACCGTGGTATTGATGGGCTCTTTGATGGAGCTCTCCATGTTGTCGATTCTGCTTTGCAGGGTCTGGACGAAGGCCAGGGTGGCGAAGGCGTCGAGGTCAGCTTCATCGTTGGGCGGCGGGGTCCTCGAGCGGTCGCCTCTGGAGCCAGCAGCCGCACAAGGTGCAGCACTAGCGCCATCACCATGAGTCTTGCGCTTCGAGATGACCCCCTGCGCAGCGTGTGGTCGGACGCCGCGGGCGGGAGGTCGGCCATGAGGGGCGCGAAACTGGGAGGCGTTCAATAAACGAGGCGCCCTCGCCTCGAGTATGCACAAAAGCAGTCCGCGGACTAGCGGCCTCCATGTGTCGGCACGGCCAACTGGGACCTTGAGCCAAAATGGCTACGGAAGGAGGAGGAGGAGGAGGAGGAGGAGGAGGAGGAGGAGGAGAGGAGGAGGAGGCGGAGGAAGGAGGAGGAGGGCGGAGGAGGAGGAGGAGGAGGGAGGAGAGGAGGAGGAGGAGGAGGAGGAGGAGGAGGAGAGAGGGAGGAGGAGGAGGAGGGGAAGGAGGGAAAGGAGAACGAGAAGGAGAACGAGGAGGAGGCAGAGGAGGTGGAGCATGAGGTGTTAAAGGACAAAGAGGCCCGTTCTAGAGGCCTCCCAGATTGGGTCGGAGAAGATGGGGTCGAAGGATCGCGCCGCATCGGCGATGCATCGGCGACGTCGGCGATGCATCGGCGACGCAAGCGCGAAGAAAATCGGGCTCCGGATCAAACCGCCTCGGCGATGCATCGGCGATGCGGCGCGATCCTCCAACCCCATCTACTCCGACCCCGTCTGGGAGACCTGGACTTTAGGGCCCCTTTTTGGCACCGACTGGCCCCAAAAGGGGCCTCAAAGGGCGCCTGTAGGGCCCTCTTCTCCCCCCCCCCCTGTGGGTCACCCCCCATCACCGCCCGCCTGAATATGCAGACCTTCGCGCGCGTGCCGGTGTGCATGAGCAGGGCGAGGGCCGAACCCCCTGAAAAGGGAAGCACGCGGGCGGGCGCCGCGCGCGCCGGGGGCTCGAGAGGCGGCCGGGGCAGGGCGAGACCGGGCGAGAACACGCCCCAGGGCGACAGAGCAGTGCGGCGCCCAGGGCTCGGCGGGGGCAGCGGCATCGGTATACGTACCTCCTTTTCCTCCTCGGAGCTCCGCGCCCTCCGCCGGCGCGCCGCGCCCCGCCTCGGCCAGGGCATCCTGCGGGGACAGCACGCGGCCACAATCACGTCGAGGACGCGCCCTGGGGGGATGTCCTGCGCGTGCCAGCAGTCGCCAGAGCACCGAAGCCAGCTTTGGGTGCTGGTCCTGGTCGATGTGGCGTCCCCGGACGGCCACCCCGACCAGCTCCAGAACCAAAGTGTTCAGGTCGAGGTCGGCGGCTTCTTCCCCGAGGGCCCCTCCCGAACAGTCCACCCAGTTGTGGTTAGTGGCTCTTTGTTGTGCCCGGAGACCAGGGCTCCTGCGAATCAACGCTCATCGACGCTGGATCATCGCCAACTGGCGCTCCTCGATGCTGGTCGACGCTGGATCGGCGCTCCCTCATCGACTGCCAGACACTCGGCGCACGCTGGCGCACTCTACGGACGGAAATGCGAGGACACACGCGGCTCCCCTTAGGTCGGGCATGTCCTCCTACAAACCGATCCTGGGTGAAACATGGTCTTTATGCTTTTCAAAAAAAAAGAGAGTAGACATCAAAAATAGCAACAACACAAATCGTCCCTGACTATTGTTTGACCATGTTGACCGTCCCTCCTTAAGGCTATTCTGACTACTGTTGTCCCGACTTAAGGCTCTCACATGATTTGCCATCGAGCGGGCCAGCCGCACGGCCGCGGGCGCGCCCGGGGCCGCCGCGGGCCGCACCCGCAGCGAGGGCAGGTGCGGCCACGTGGACTCGTCGCCCACCGCCGGGGCCAGGGCCTGATGGGAGACGGCAAGGGGGGGGGGACGGCTCCCCAGACACGATGCCGTCGCAGCAGCAAATTCGGCTACACGCAAGAGTGACCCTGGGTAAGGGTGACCTGTGGTGCGCGGCTCTTGGGGGGCCGCGGGGGGGCCAAACACAAGCGCGCAAGACGCCACTGCCGCCTCGCGTTCGGCGATCGGGGGACCCCATTTGGCCCGCACCAAAGGTCACTCCAGCGAAAGGTCAGTCTTACGTCTAGTCGAGAAATCATGACGGGCATTTTTTCGCCATTTTCGGCCCCTGGGGGCCCTCGCCGGTCCCCGGGGCCGTCGAAAAGCAACGCAGGATGCAAAGCCTGCCGGGGGAAAGGGTCTGGACTTCCGGGGACGCCGTCCTTAAAAAAACAGGCCGTCGCATGTCTGCTTCAGGGAGGGGGGGAAACATCGACATAGAATCGGCGATGCATCGCCGATAGATCGGCAGCAGGCCCCCGAGATAGCGATGCTGCATGATCCTGGGCGGGGTGGGCTACCAGGTCGATGCGTTCCCCCCTGAGCCTATCCTGACATGCTCCGGACTCATCCATACCCCTAAGGTTGGCAAGCCCAGAGGCGGTGATAATCTTAGGGATGCGCCTTCGAAACTGAGGAAATCCTTGAGATCGGCGTCGAGACAAGGCGATGCCAAGCTTAGGGATAGGCATAGGTCGCAGCGCCGTCGCTTTCGATGCGCCCACGTGGACGACGCCGACACCGCGCGTCAAATCCACAGCACATCCCTGCACATGTGGCCCATTCCGGAAACCCTGCACCCAAAAAGGTCACCATCTCTTCGGGGGTCGCTGAAGTTGCCCCTGGCCCAAGGTGCCCCCAGCTTTTCGCTCAATTCTGGAGCCCTGGGCCCTCTCTGGGCCTCGTCAGGGGTTCTCTGGAGGCCGTGTGGGCCTCCTTGAAGATCCTGGGGGCACCTTGGGCCAGGGGCACTTCTAGCAGCACCCGATCTCTTGGGGGACACGTCTCTACTCTCGTCGGCTTCCGCTAGCCTGCCGCCGGCTTCCGCCCGCGGAGCCGCCCTCATGCTACTTCCGCGGGCTTCAGCCGCCCCGCCGCCGGCTTCCGCCGGGGAAGAGATGCCAGTTCCTTCGACCCTCGAAGGCGAGGCCCAGGACAGCCCAGCATCGAATCGATAAGCCGGATCGGCGATCGAAAAGAATCGGATCGGGGGAACTCGGCAGACGAGTCTGGAAAACTCGAATAGGCAAAAATCGGCAGGCTAGTGGGCCTCCATTGAGAAATCGGAATCCACATCGGAATCCGAAGTCGAACCGAATCGAAATTGAAAGCCACCGCAATCGAACCGAATCGAACCGGAGGACTCCAAGAGAGCCCTGTCTGGAGCGCCCCACACATTCCAGGCAGGCAGTGTCCCCCTCCTCCTCTTCCTCCTCCTCCTTCTCGTCCTCCTTTTCCTGCTCCTTTTCCTTTTCCTCTTCCTCCTCCTCCTCCTCCTCCTCCTCCTCCTCCTCCTCCTCCCCGCACCGGTGCACCCGAGGGGGGCCTCCGCGCGGCCGGCGCCCAGGGCCAGCCACGCAGCCGCCGGTGCGAGCGAGCGCCACATGAGCTGCGGAGGCGGCTGCCCTGAGATCCTGGCGTCGCAGAGTGTGCTTCGGGCGTCGCTTGCACTGGGGGCACTGGACAAGGAAGCCTCAGATAAGGCATCCAGGGCCTGGAAGCCAGTGGAACTCCAATCGAGGCTTGGCCATGGATATCGCCACCGCCCTCATCAGGTAAGGTGCCCTCTCCAGGGTCTGAAACCTCCTGGGGGCCCTAAATGGGCCCCAGGGGGGGCCCATTTAGGGCCCCCTTTAGGGCACAGCAGGTGCACCTTTCCTCCCCCCCCATTTGTCGCCCCTCCCCCCCCCCGGCTTCGGGTCCCGAGACCATCGCCCAGTTTTAGAGCCCCAGGACCGTTTTCGCCCCGTTTTCACCAACGGCATTAACGCCCTAGTTCTAACCCCGTCTCGGGCCCTGGGACCATCACTCGAGGAGGAGAAAGAACATCAATGACCAGGTGCCGCTGGTAGCCCGCGTCTTGCTCCCTCGCTCTTGTCTGAAAGCCTTGTGCCCCTTCATCGATGACGCGCTGGTGGGCCCCCCGCGGCGGCGTATCGTTGATATTGTTTTCGCTCCCCGGATCACAGATCGATCCGGCCCTAAGACTGCTGCAGAAAGACTGTGTCTGAGGCTCTTGTCGTATTTCTTCGCGACGCTGTCTTGTTCGCAACGTCGGATCTCAGAGGGGGCGCCTTGACAGAAGTGCAAGTAGTGTTGGATGGGCGAACAGTGAAGTACTGATACCTTGGCCTCAAGTATGGACGAACAGGCCGAGCTCGAGCCTGCAGCTCCAGCTCCTGCAGCTGCTCCTCCTGCTCCTGCGACTGCTGGCAGTGCAACTGGTGGAGGCTACTCTTCGCACCACCTTCGGATAGACTTCACCTTTCACGACGCGTGCGAGGAGGTATATGAGCGGGATGGTGCGAAGAAGCAAGAGGACCACGAAGGTAGGGGTGCATAGTGGGAGGGGGAAAGGAAGGGCGAAGTGAAGGTGCAGGAAGGTCTGGGAGGCTCTGACAAGTTCTAAGTCGTCTGGGGGGGTCCCCCCCTGCTGCACACGCCCTTGTTCATGGTCTTCGCGGGTTCTCTCGAACCCACGCCGACCGTTATTGCCACAATGTTCCGCAATCCTTCTCATGATCTTCTTTATCCTCCTCCTCGTTCAATCCTCTTCCCTCCAACAACATCCAAGGGAAGGCTGCCGCCCGAGCGCATCGAAACTCATCCGAGGACGCATTTTCTGTTCGGGGGCCATCCGGAAAAGAGGTCACTGGGTTGTCGTCTCACAAACAGGCGCCCGATCGTCGCCTCGCACGTGCGCAGACACGGCGCAGGAGGTGGCACTGGCCCGAGAGGAGGGCGAGGGCGAGGGCGGTGGCGGGAGTGACGCCGGGCGCGAGGCGGGGATGGCGGCGGGGACGAGGACGAGGGCGAGAGAGTGCAAAATGACCGAGAGGGGGCGGGTGCGCCGACGGCGAGGGTGCGGACGACAGGGGGAACCTCGGGAGCGGGCCTCACACGCACTCGCCCGGGAGCCGCGTCGAAGGCATGGGCGATCGGAGGCTCTGGATGCAGGTGCTGCTCCCCCCCTGGGCTGTTCGCCTCCGTCGTCGCCGCCGAGGCGGAGAGGGGTGCGGGGGGAGGGTGGGCCGCGATGGGGCTCCCGCGCGGAGCGGCCTGGAGAGCGGCACGAGCCGCACGGGGGACGCGGGGAGCTGACGGGCAGGGGCTCGGCAGGCCGAGAGCGCACAAGAATCATGGATGGGGCCTCCATCATCAACATCATCAATGGGGCCTCCATCATGTGGATGGCGACCTTGCCATCGAAGTCATGACGACCGCGACTGTCTTGGCACCTCCTTGACGCGGTCCTCGTCATCGCAAGGCTATCGTGAGGTTCGCCATCATCGCAAGCGTTGTTGCAACCACCGTAATTAAGAAGAGGCTGGAGACACAAACGGCAAGATTCGCATGCAGAACATGCGCAGGCCGTGCGCTGGATACCCATGCGGACACCCATTCCACAAAGGGCCGAGCGCTAGAAGGACGCGGGGCCACATGTGCACCCAACTCTTCCACATGCCGACCATGCCATCGCACCATGCCACGTGACGACCTCGAGCGCAATTGCAAAGCTTCCCGTCGGAGGGCCAGCTGAGACGATGGCGGATCTCGCGCCTGGACCGAACCCTCTGCTCAAAATCGGTCCCTGGAGCTCTCCAGAAATCTATATTACACCTGAAGTCGAATTACCCCAATCAGTGCATGGTTTTCGCTGAGGAGATCGACCGGGAACCTGGGAGCCCGGGAACCCAGAACCCGCCGAAATCGGCCCGGAACCAATAACCGGAACCTGGGAACCCAGAACCGGGAACCCGGGAACCCAGCCTAGCTACCAAAATCGGCGGGAAACTTTCGCCAAATCTGTCAACTTCCGCTATGGCCCCTTCAGTGCAAGCACTGATTGGGGAAAAAAGAAAGAGAAAACGCCAGGGAAGGCAGCCGTTGTCTCGACTGGCCCTACACCGATCCTGGCGTCGCTGACATCATCGCGGCGCGGCCGAGATCTCCTGCCGGGTCTGGCGGCTCCCGCCGCCGGTCGTCGTCTCGTCGGCCACGCAGCTCGGTGCACAGACGCCCCAGCTTCTCCCAACACGTGGGACGAGGGAGAATTCGGCCTGACCTAAGGAGCGATAAATGAGGAACGAAGCCCTTTTTTTCAAGTAAATATACGAAGTTCGAAGGGACACCAGGGGGACTCGCCGCCAAAAAGGTAGCGGAACGCATGCACACCAAAGGAACGACCTAGCCCCTTTCGAAAAGCAAGTGTTCCTTATTCAGTCCAGACCCTGTATCTACCGAATTCTTTCGCCAAGTTCAATGGATCCTTTGCCGACTAAGCGACGTGGTGCATCGGGAACGCGCCGACATGGATTGCAGATCCGCGGATCTGCCTCGTGGGCGCCAGATCTGTGGATCGGGGAAGTCACTCTCCGAAGCATGGCGCCAATGCTGGCTGACTCGGCGGCGGAGCGTGTCGAGCTTGCGTGACCCGCGGCCAATCCACGCGCCCCAATCAACGCTGGAGCCTCCTTGAACTGATCCTGGCCGACAAAGCGACGTTTGGCGCGCCTGAGATTTGTACGACAGAAACTGGGTACGACGTCCATCAGTTCAAAACCTACAGCGGCCGCTGTTGTGCAGGCGGCCTTCTGGCTCAAATGGACAATGCCCGCGGCGGCACCGACAGCGAGTCCTGATCAGAATAGATAGGAACTGCTGGCGGTCGTCGTCCCCACTCTTTCAGTACCCAGTTCGATCGTATCGAGGTGTGGCGTATACCATTGCGCACGTTGCGAAAAGCATGCAACGTCAAGAAGCATCACGACCGGAGCCCTTGGCCGCACCTTTCTGCTGCATTTTATGAGCTGCGTCGACCTGGGATGGCCCCAAAGCACGGGATCGGGCGAACACCGAGGGCCCCTGCCGAGGAGTCACCCGACCTTGACTCCCTGGCCTATCGAGAAAGCTATGGTCAACACGGACACGCATGACCATGAACCCCAGCCTTACCAGAACGGACGACCAAAGCTGCCAAACTGAAGATAAGCGGCGAGCGAGGGGGGAAAGTGAGAAGGAGCGGGCCTTCTCAGAAGGCTTGCAAATCCGCAGGTCTTCTCATAAGTTTTCTAAGCCCTCGCGGAAGACACAAAAAGCCTCTCAGAAGGCGCGAGGGCTTCTGAGAAGCCCCGCCGCCTTCTGAGAAGGTCTTCTCCTCCTCACTTCCCCCCCTCGCTCGCCGCCGAGAAGAACATGCGAGGGTATTCTTCGCCAGGGTGCACAATAATCTTTGCAGACGTAGCGAAAGAAATGATGTACCCTTTCCCGACAGTCGGACGTGGACAAAACCCCCTTCAGCAAAACGCCCTGTAGTGAAAGTTGTCAGGGAGGAGGAGGAGGGGGAGGAGGAGGAGGAGGAGGAGGAGGAGGGAGAGGAGGAGAAGGAGGAGGAGGATCAGGAGGAGGAGGGATAGGAGGAGGATCCACGTGCGCATGGCACCGCATTCCGAGGTGACCCCAGCGGGGCAGCGAATCGGCGTCCAAAGGCAAGCGAATGTATCAGGCGAAACCCATGTCGATTCGCGAAATCAGCTGCAGACTGCACCGGCACTCTCGAATGCCGATGACGCGTGAACTGGTGCAGATGTCCCTGGTCGACTTGTCTAGGCGGGGCTTCTATCAACCTCCGCACCGAGCAGTACCCAGGGTGAGGAGGAAGGCGGGAGGCGGCGGAGGACGTGGTCGCGGCGAGCGGCCCCAGAAGCGGCTGCGAGCAGCGGCCAGAGCAGAGAAAAGGCCCTCCAGAGAGCCAATCGGAGCTTTCTGTGCACCCGGGTGCTGAACCTGTTTGAGGAGCAACGATATGGGGGGATAAGACTGGGGGGGGGGAACATCGACCTGGAATCGGCGATACATCGCCGAAAGATCAGCGATAGGCCGCCGATGGTGAATCCGCACACTCCTGGGCGGGGTGCGGCTATCGGGCCCCGACCGGCGATCAATGGGCGATGCATCCCACCCCCTCCCGTTGCCCCTGACTGTGTTTCACTCCGTTGAGAACTCGCCCGCGCTGGGCTGGTGCTCGCGTCGCTTCGAGGGTGTGTGTGTGTGTGTGTGTGTGTGCGTGTGTGTTCCTCCATTTCGTGCTCGCCTCGCTCCGACCGTACCGATCGTGCCGAGAGGTAGCGGCGACGACGACGATGACGACGACGACGACGACGACGACGACGGCGACGACGGCGACGACGACGACGGCGACGACGACGGCGACGACGGCGGCCCCTCCGCAGGCCCGGCGGAGCCCCTGCCGAGCACAGGGGGGCGCCTCCGCCGCGGAGCGCGAGGCCGCGGCGGCGGCTCCGGCGAGGCGCGCCGCGGCGTGGGGGAGGCCCGCGGCGGCTCGGGGGGGGGGGGGGGCGGGGGGGCGTTAGGAGGCAACTTAGGATGTGACTAGGGGGGGCGTTAGGCGGCGGGGGGGGGCGTTAGGCGGCGGGGGGGCGGGGGGGCGTTAGGCGGCGGCGGCTCGGGGCGGGGGGACTGGGGGGTGTTCGTCGGAAGGACTGAGGAGGATTGAGCTCCATGTTGGGGGGCTGCTGCGCCGAATGAGGCTGCGGATTCGGCGGGATGGAGCCGGAGTGAGCGGGATCAAGCCAGATGAAGCGGGATTCAGCCGGATTAAGCCAGATTTCGGACCAGGGCAAAATCAGAATCTGACCTCCCAGGAGCTGCATCCGGAGGGGCGTGGAGGGCGACAGGGCGTCGTCGTCGTCGTCGTCGTCGTCGTCGTCGTCGTCGTCGACCGGTGGGCTCGAGTCGACGCTCAGAAGCATGCGGGCGAACGCCCCTGTCCCAGGCAGCAGGGGTGAGGGGCCATGACAAGGGGGGGCGACTGGCCAAGGGGGGTGGGTCTCGACCTGGAATCGGGCCGACACATCAGCGACAGGCCCCCGACAGCAAATCCCTACGCTCCCGGTCGTGATGCGTCGCGATGTGTTGCACCTGCTTCTCGCCGGGCATGTTCGCCCCGTCTCGGGCCCCGGGGCCCTCCCAGGTCGACCCGGCTCGCAAAGGATGCCCCAGGGAGAGGGGGCCGAGGGCTCTGGTCATGACGTGTCGCGATGCTTCCGTTTGCCCCCGCAGCGGCGGATCTCAGGGAGGGCGACGGGGCAGGGCCGCGGGGGAGCCGCGGTCAGACACTTTTGCCGCGGCTGGACGCCGGAGTCAAGGAAC